CAAAATTTCAATGTCTATCAATAAATAAAATTTTATTTGAAACAGGACCACAGTCATTCATTTACCTGTTGTCTATGGCAATATTCACATATAACAGCAGAGAAGTTGTAACAGAGTAGTTGCAATAGGCACTGTATGGCCTACAAAGCCTAGAATATTTACTTAGCATTTTCAGAAAAGAATTTTCTAATCCCTGTTATATGTAGATCATTACTCATTTTTCACCCTAACTTTTTTTTTTTTTTCCTTTGGGGTAAAAACAGGAATTGGCCTTTTTTTTTTTTTGAAGTCTCAACCAAATGTCTGTGGCTTTCCAATTTTCTTTAATAGCTAGACCTAAATGCCAATCTTTATCTCTTCCAGCACTGTGCTGCCTCTGACATCTCTTGGGTAGTAGTTTTCTTTGCTAGATTTCTCAGAGTCTTGCGTTGCACAGATATAGCTTAGTAGTTGGGTTTGAGGGGGATTTTTTTTTTTAGCCTATTTCTCCTACAATTTTTTTTTCCAAAATTTGGCAGTAATTCAGCCCACCAAATCCAAGCTGTAGTTCTGAACTTCCATTTTTGCCTCTTCTGTCCAGTGAGATGGCCACTCTATTTCTCTGTACTGTGGTTTGGAAAATGCTCTGAGGGAGATACATGGGATAAACACGGGGCTCATCTAATGTGCTCCATTTCTTATATTTCCTTTCCCTAAAGGATCATAGTCTTGCATTGACTACTGTTCAATATTTTGTCCAGCTTTTAGCACTGTTCTTGGGGAAAGGATTATTGCAGTATCAGCCACTTCATCATGTTTAGGTCCAAGTCAATTATTTTTTAAAATATAACTTTTATGTCAAATTCTTTACATGTATTATTGATAGTCTGCATACATCCTGAATAATAAAAAAAATTATCCTCATTCTTGTAGATTAGAAAACATGCTCAAAATTTAAGAGAATTATCCAAAAATAATACATCCAGTCAATGTAACTGGAATTGCAGCTGAGATTACTTAGGTTCCAATTTCTATTACAACATTCTATCTACTAGCCACTAAATCAGCACATAAATTATGCACAAGAGTTACTATAATTTTACCCCAAATTTTACATTAATATTATTTCTATTGATTAAATATTTTAGAGGGACAGTATGTTAAATTAGCAGCTGAAAATGATAACTGACATTTGTACAAGAATTTTGCTTCCCTATTCATAACTGATGACCGATTATAGTATTTAAAATAGATTATGGGGTGCCATCAATAGATATATTTTCTTTCCTTCCTCCCTCCCTCTCTCCCCCTTCCTTCCTTTCTTTTCCTGTTCTACCTCTTCTCCTCCTTCTTTTTCAATGGTGCTAGAGATTGAACCCAGGTCCTAGCTCATGTTAGGAAAGTGCCCTACCACTGAGCTACAAACCCAGCCCTCCACAGATACTTTTGCCAATGTATTGGTATATTAAAATAATTCTTATCACTTAGAGAAACTGATACTACTGAATCAGCTGAATATGGAAAATTTTCTGTTGACAGAGATTTATTGCATCACTATGTCTAAGATTTACCTTACTATGCTTTTGGAAAGAAACACTTTGCAAATAATACTTAGACATTTTAAACCTATCAAAATGTAGTCTGACCCTACAAAATTAGCCCTTATTCACAACAACTAACACTAATCTCCTTCTCTAACCCTCATTGCTCTGAGCATGAAAGGTCAATTATAACCCATAAACAGTATTCTGAATACAACAAAGGACTGTTTCCAAACTGTAACACAAAGAATTACATAAGCAAGCAGAAACATAGTGTACAATGTGAATGGTCTTTGAAACCTGTTGCCCAATGTCCATTTCCCTGCTTTGTGCATATTATTCATATCCACTAATACCACTTGCAGATTGTGATGGTAAGTGCTCACTGAACTTCTATGCTTTGATGTCCCAATGATTTTTTCATTTCTAGGATGTAAATGTAAAGACATACCCAATCTAATCCACTTCTTTTTCCTTTCCTCACAAATTTCCTATGTGTTTTTCTTAGCTTTCTTCTATCCTAAATGAGTTCACTTATGTGAATCAAAACCATGAAGCTGTATCATTCTAGATGTCATACATTTAGCAGTATGTGTGAAATAGATTCCATCAGACTTAGGAGAGACAGAAAGATATTAAGAGAGTGACTCAGAGAAAGCATATGGGCCACTGGGCATTTGCAGCAGCACAAGAAATTCCAGGCAACTGTTCAGCAATTTGGGGAGGATCATCAGTCACTTTGGGTCATCACTCTGAAGCTTTTCTCAATATAACGCACAGGTGCAGCCTATACTAAACAAATTAGTCAAAATGCCAGATGACTCTAAGTCCTGAAACTGAGGCCAGATTTTACACTTCCCTGCATAAGTCTTCAAAATGAGCAACACTGAACAAGGTGTAGCTGGTAGCCAACTTCTGTTTCCTTAAGGAATCTGACAAAACTAGTGTGTCTTAAGAGATACTTAGGCAATATAACAGTATAAGTGCAAAAACTCCATGGAATGAAAAATTTGCAATAACATCATGCCACTAACTGGTCAGGGAGATGTCAGCTAAGCAGTGTGATGTTGGAACCCACCTGCCACCACTATAGTACTGTATCTAGATCTTTGACTTATTGTCTTTATTTCCTCTCCTTTTGATAAGAGTTCATAGAGGATGGATTTTAAGGTCAAGGAGACAAACAAGACACTTATAGCATGAAAAAGGGGAAAAAAGCCTTCCCCATATCTTTTCTGTTTAATTCTATGTTAAACATACTACTGTGAAACTTGTACTTTTGACACCAGTTTCCCTGCCTCTCAAATGATACTTAGCTACTTAAGGGATGAACATGAAACACAGAATCTGAGGGGAAGAAGAGATCTGATGATGTACCTCCTTACAAATTGGAATAATAAAAACACAAGGCTTGAGACTGCTTTGAGATATTTTTTCCCCCTTACCAGTAGAACTAAAAATTTATATTTCTCATTTTGTTCTTCTCTCCTCTTCATTTGATTCCTTCCTAACCCAGTGGAGATTTAGATCATTTGGATTCAGTAGTACTCTAGAGAAATGACCAGATGTAAGTGCAGATATTGAAGTGCAGACACAGCAGCAAGTTGTGACATGCCAAAACCACTCAAAGGGAAGCAAGCCAAAGGTGAAGGAATAGGGCACTGAAGCAACCAGTCATTCAAGGAAGACACCTGAAATTACCTTAAGTGTTGTTTTAATAGAGAGACTCCTACAATGATTTGCTGCCAGGTTCTGTTAAAGTGCAGTTTGTTCATGTCTGCAATCTTTGGCTGGTCTACCGCGGGCAAACTCATTACATTCTATTGGAATTTTAATGTCCATAGGTTCCAAGCCTTGTTCTTTTTGTTGCAATTCTTCAGGGCATCCTGTGCAAACCTGAGGTGGAAAAGTATAATGAAAGGTCCTTGAGAAACAGTGGGACAACATATTAATTATAAACAGAAAAAAATTCCAATCAGAGTTGAGGTTTGTAGAAAGAGATCTCAGATAACTGATGGAAGATTATAGTATATTTCAGGGAGTAAATAGGTTTTGCGGCTACAGGAATCTCTACCTATTGGAGAGATTTTGTGGATACCTGTATCTTCAGATTCTTGATAAAAAGAGGACTCCCATATTGTTAACTGAATGAGAAATCTCGTTTTTTTTTTATCCCTCCCTCTCCTGTTTTCCCTTTGTTGAGAAGATATTTTGAATGATATTTGCTCCCCACTGAGCCACATCCCCAGCCCTTTTCATTTTTTATTTTGAGACAGGGTCTCACTAAGTTGCAAATTTGCTGAGGCTGGCTTTGAACTTGCAATCCTCCTGCCTCAGCCTCCTGAGCCGCTGGGATTACAGGCTTGCGCCACCTCTGCAACTGGCTCTCCAACACCTCCTTTTATGGCAAATTGTATGACCAGTATTTTTTATTTGCTGGCTTCCAGAGTATTTAGAAACAGGGATGCTATCACCATGCTTCTGTATGAACAAAGATACCTATTAAATTTAGGGCAATTAATTCCCCATACTGCAGTGAAGTGGAAAAAATATTATAAATGTGCATATTTGAAAAATCTCCCTCTTAATAATCAATTAGTAACGGGGATGTGAATCAATAGGTATAAGAAATACATGGAACAATCATTTTCTTTTGGTAGAAATGTGGTCTTGCTCAGGGCTAAGATTTCTGTAGTAAATACGCCTTTTGCAGGTGAAGGATCATCTGGCTCTCTGCCTGGGTGGTTTACCTCAATTTACTCTTACAACATTCCTGGAAGAAAGACAAAAGTAGCCCCGTTTCACAAAGGCGAATGTCTCAAAATTGAAGAAATTGCTTAAGGATTCTCTGCTAATAACTTTCACAAGTGCTACTGGAACTCAAATCTGCTTACTTTCCTTTCACAGGGTGCCGTACTGCCTCAAACCGACACGTTTTCGGTTGGCTGAATTTGCTTTTCCCAGTTCCCAGAATGGATTCTTGGTAATAAGTTATTTCTCCTTATATTTCCTCCAGACCCATTATTATGAACGTAGGTGTAATATTTTGGATATTCAATTTGTGTTTCTAGTGGGGCCAGCACCTGTCTCTGAGTGCTGCCGCTGTCCCGGGCCGGTGGTGCTGGATTCTGCGGCGCCACGGCTGGAACGGGAGAACCCGCCAACTCCAGAGGGAGGATCTATCCTCAGTCCGCCCTCCCCAAACCCCAAACCCAAAGACCCAAAGACAAAACAATCACCCAAATCACCACGACCTAGACCACGGGCCTCTGTGGACCCAGGGGAGAGGAGGGTCGGGGGCAATAAGGCGCCTCCGGTGCGCCCTCTGGCGGGAGCAGAGCGCGCAGATTCCCCGCCCAGGCCCCCCTTCCCCGCCGCCGCCGCCGCCGCCGCCGCGGCGCCCCCGCCCGGCTCTCCAGGTTCACTCTCTGTCTCTCACTCCGTGAGACACAGACGGCAGCTTTCTGAGCCGGGGGACAGGCTGAAGCGGCGCCACACAAGTGCCACCGCTCGCCCGGAGAAGACCTAGGCAAGGGGAGAGCAAACTAAGCCCGGAGCTCCATCCCTCCTCTACACGGTTCCTCCAGGCAGACCCGGCGGTTCCGCGCCCCCGCGCGATACATTTCGCAGCCACTTCGCGGGGCGTGCCTGGACTTGGGTCGTAGATCGGAAAGAGCCAGGCGCGAGGCAACGGCGGCCCAGGAGCGAGGGTGCGCTCACTGGGACTGGAAAGGAAGGAGTGAGTGGCGGACTGGGCGGCGGCGGCTGTAGCCGCGGGTGCCTCCCCACCTCTCCGCTTCACGGGCAGCACCGCCTCCAGGGCCGGGGCCGCTCGGCCGGGTCTTCTGCGCGTTCCCGGGCCCGGAGCCGGCGCACGATGCGCCCGGCTGCCTTCTGATCGCTGCTGCGCCTCCGCCTCCGCCGAGATGATCCCCCCTGAGCCGCCACAACAGCAGCTGCAGCCGCCACCACCGCCAGCCCCGCCGAACCATGTGGTGACCACCATAGAGAACCTGCCGGCCGAGGGCAGCGGTGGCGGTGGCGGGAGCCTGTCCGCTTCCTCCCGGGCTGGCGTGCGCCAGAGGATCCGCAAAGTGCTGAACAGGTGAGTCGCGGCTCCCGGCGAGGGCGCGGGGGATCGGGACTGGGGGCTCCCGGCCCGGAGTTCCCTCCGTCCCTCGGATGTCTCAGATCCCTTTGGGACTGGGTCGAGGCTAAGGGAGACCGAGGAGCCCGGGCGACCAGCGAGGCGCCCGGCGCTCGCGGAGAGGCCACGGTAGCTTTGTCCTGGCGCAGAGAGCCCTGGAGTGCCGGAGCTGCAGGCTGGTCCGAGGAGCGAGTTCGGGGAGAGGCGGGGTTTTTCCGTACCTAACCTGCCCTGTGTGTATCCGCACTCACGCCCTCGTACACGCTTGCTGTCTCACTTCCCTTTCCCACTCGTACCCCGGCTTTGTACTCGGGGGACCCAGGGACTTGGCCAGGGCGGAGGCGGGAAGGCGCCGGGCTGCGGAGATGGCTTGGAAGTCGCGGCCTCGAGCTGTTGTCCTCCCCGCTCGGCTGCTCCGACCCCTCCCCAGGGGATAGGGTAGTGGCTTCAGCCTCCGTGGACTGGAGGGGAAACCACTTCTGCCAGACGCTCATCACGGCTCAGTCTCTTACTGGCTTCGGGCAGGGAAACCGAGGCTAGAGGCCTGGACCAGACCCATGCAAAGTGCAAAATGTTGCAGGAAGGGTGTGAGAAGGAGGTGCCCGATTATTCTGAAGCTGGCCAAGAAGATCGCCGGCGCCTCCAGTGCTGGAATCTGCGTAGTGGAGCCTTTAAGGACAGAGGTGTTTAGAATGAGGTCCTGGATAAACATAAAAATGGGTTCCCCACTATAGCCCCTGAGTCATCTGTGACGTGAAAAGGACTTTTGCTACTTAAGTAACTTAAAATGGTCCGCGAGTTGGAAGATTGGAAAAAAAAAATCACAGAGCGAGTGGATTTTGTGTGTTTTCTTTTGGGTGCGAGTGCGTGCATTCGGATGCGCATGTAGGGGTAACCCTTCCGGTTGCTCTGTTCATACAGGTTTCTGTGCGGTACTGTTTTGGGTAGCAGGGATTTCCCAGTGACTTCACACCAACTGTTTTGGGGTTAAGGCTCTAGTTAGAGCACAAAATGTATACAGAAATAAAAACTTGATGAATATCTTGATTTGAGGAGTATGGATTAATTTAGTTATATCAAACCCCAAACCATTCAAGATGCCTTGTGAAGTCTTAACGAGTATAACAACTTACTTAGGGCTACTTCTGCATGTTTCCACTTATTTTCCAAGCAGCAATTCACTTCTGAGTGAGACACAAGATGGTAATAAAGTCGAGTCTTTCCTGTCATTTGTAGTTTAGAATAGCACATTCCAAAATATTGCGTCTGAAAGATAATGAGCAGAATAAATCAAGGAGATGATGACTCAGTATCTATCATGTTGGGTTTCCTGTTCTTTAGGAATACCTGTAGTTTTAAGCAGAATATGTTTTTAATTATTAATTTTCTTATCAAACTAAAAAACACTGTTGTAGTAGTTCACTTATTTTTAATTTATAAATTATTATCAACTCTGTGCAGGCAGTTTATATAATGAACTTTAGAGTTGAGAATGACAAGATCACTGAGGTAGGCTTGAGGTTTGAGGCTAGCCTTGGCAATTTAGTGACACCCCGCCAATAAATAAATAGATAGATAGATAGCTGGCTGGCAATGTAGCTCAGTGGTAAAGTGCCCCTGAGTTCAATTCCCACTAATGCAAAATAAAATGTTTAATAATATTTGCCTTACTTCCCCTGTCATGATATTGAGAATTAGATAATACTGAAGGAAATACCTGGAAATTTAGGCAGCTCTACATTTTCTCATTTATCCAACTTTTGTTGTATGAGTCTGCGGGAGCAACATACACAAATAAGAGAAAGTCATAGTACATTATGGGTAAAACTTGGTGTTTACTAAGACTTTTGTGATCTGTGATATAAGTTGTACAGTTCCTAGTGTATCAGGGAGGGACTTAAATTTAGGTTGGGTCAATGGAATTTCATCTCAAGCATATCCATGAGTGGGACTCTAGGATTATAACCTTTAGAATTAAATTAAAAACAATTACTTATTTGTCTTTTAAAGTTCTTCAGATTTTTCAAAATCCTATTTCATTTTGGGTAAATGGCTTTTCCTTATACTTAAAGAATAAGGAGAAAATATTTCTCTTTAGAAAGATCTTTAGTAAGAAGAATAAATCATAATACATTAAAAAATGTCGACTGGATAATTTCTTTAGCATGCCTATGAGCTTGGCTTTTGTGCCAGGATAATGCCAATCAATTAGAGACAGCATCAGTAGTGGCTACTGAGTGATGCTAAGAAGAGTGTGAAGGAGAGTGGAATTATAGAGGTTGCCAGTTCCATAATGTGGCTCTCCTCATGAGGTATAAACCCTCATGGTGTGTTGACTAGTCAATTATACCTAATCAGCTGTGTTTATTTTCTGAAAACTCAAGATCTACTCACATTTTGTCCCCCCCCCCTTTTTTTTGCCTCCTTCTACTTCTGTTTCTTTCACCTGTTTACCCTGTCCACTCATTGTCTTCAGTTGCTTCCTTTAATTTATCCCTGGCCTCCAGCATTTTAGTTCCTAGAAGAAAGAAGTTCCAAATCTGGAAGCTAGAAACCAATATAAAAAATATCCATCCAACTTTTGGCATGCACCTCTGTAGTTGGCAGAGTTCTCTTACTGTAAGCTGGTGGGACAGCCTCATTGACCCGCGATGTAACAGTGTCAGCTCCTACCATCCCATTGGACTAAAGGGGTAGAGCTGAAGGGCAGGGTGGTCCCATGGGAACAGGAATAGAAGACAGTGAGCCAGGCAACCCTGGTGAGCTGCCAGTCCTTGGTCAGAGTTACCTGCCAACCCAGAGGATGAAATGCAACCACATGCTATTTATGTCCTGTCTTCATAGGGACAGTTAAAGAGAGAAGTATTGATTGATAACTAATTAAAGGTACTTGCTCTCAAAAAGCTGAAAAAGAAGATGTAATGTTTCCTTAATAAAATCAGCTTACATGGTTCTGCATTGTTTTATTTCCGAGTAGAGCACCACATCCTGCCCCCTTACAAAGCCTTGTGCAGTTACACTGCTGCATTTTTTTTTTTTTTTGCACATGACAATCTGGGCATCTCACTGATGGTCTACTTCCTTTCTGTGAAGCAATTAGGTTAGAATATACTAGTTTCTAAGACTTAGGCAAAAGAGGAGATGCCAGATAATTCTTTTTTAACCTATCAATGAGATATATCATATTCTTTCCCCTGTTCTAGTCATAATTGTTTTGGCAGTGGAATGTAAGAAATGCAAGATTATTTGACTGCTGAGGTAATTACATAAAATTACAAAGATGCAAAATAACGTATTGATTCAAACAAAGAAAAAAATTGGCAATATGTTTTTCTCTTATTTTTTAGAATGAAATCCCATTTATTACCCTGCCTCAGGCAAGCAAGATACAACAAAAAGAAAATGCTTCAAGGGCAGCAGTTGATGACCCTCTTACAGAAACTGCTGATCAAGTAGATTTCTTTGAGACCTAGAAGAGTTGATACTGATCTATTATATTAAAGTGCCTGGAGATCCTCTCCTCTAAAATTATTATTTAATAAGATACCTTAAAAATGAATGATAGCTTATTTTGTGTTTTGCATATGTGTGCCTTCCCATGGGAAAAGAAATATTTCATTATGCTATAAATATGCCCATTATTATAATTATTCCCATCATTTTCAATTCTTCACAAAATAACTAGGAATTTCTAGTTTTGATCCATTTTCTTCACAATAAGACATATATTGGATTGTCTTAAGTTATAAAGATGTTTCTACTTTTTGAATCTTGTATTGGGATGTTTAATCATTACAATAGAACCACTAGTGACCCTGGGCTATCCATTCATTTGATTTGGAACTGATTTCCAACTTACATTTAGATTTATTTCATTAATTTTAAAAGTACCTGAAACTTTTTTGTATTGTAAACCAAGGAACATTAAAAATGACACATAGGAGAGTTGCAAGCAAGCCTGCATTAAATCAATGTCCAAGTGGGAAAATTATCATGTAAGATGCGCTAATATGTATACATAGCCTTTCTGAGTCATTCATAAAGTGGACAGAAAATTGCAAACCAATGGAATTGGCTGCAAGAAATAAGGTCATGCCTATACTAGGTGTTAGATCAAGTTGATGATGACACATTGTAATTTAGATGATCTTTCTTTAGAAAGTGAGAAATATTTTGTTAAGAAATTGATAGTGAGGTTCTTCCTCAAGCTGCTTCTTTGAACAGATGTCAAAATGAAAAGAGGAAGATTGGCTCGTAATGAGGATAATTGATATAAATATTCCAAATGGAACCGGGTGCTGTTATTAAAAACAGACATTTCTAGGATCAGTAGTAAATAAAAGTTTTCTGAAGGATGCATTTATTTTTAACTAAAAAGTCAAATTTATGAAAATAAAGTAAATGGTCATTTAGTATGCTTTATGCTCTGTACTTGGAGAAATGAATGGTAATATTAAAGAATTATTTGGTTTACTTTGGGTAAAGATGATGCATTTTCAAGTAATTTATGTATAAACAACATACATCTCCATGTAGTTTTTCTTTGACCTCTTACTTTCTCAAAATTCTTCAGTGCCTTAGGATCGTCATTATAGATGTCTACTTTTGTTGTACACTGCTGTAGATATAGATGGTATAGGAAATTGAGCTGGCTGTCCATATAGTTCTAAAGATACTTAATGCAAGAGATGATGTATTATTTATTTATAATTTTTTCTCATGAAAGTCAGATGCAGTATGTGAAAGTACCACCATCAAATTGTTTAGTTTTTTTCATTCATTTGCGTTCAGGCCAATGAACATTAACTGTACATTGTTTAAACACATTGATTTTTTTATTTGTTTTTGGTAGCAGGATTGAACCCAGGGAAACTTAACCACTGAGCCACATTCCCAGCCCTTTTCATTATTTATTTTGAGACAGGGTCTTGCTAAGTTACTTAGGGCCTAACTGGTGG